GGTCAAGGCGCTGGAGGTGATATTCTGATTTGCGAAGTCGATTCCACGGGACGATGGTTACTCCTGCCGCCGGTCCAGCTGAGTAACGCATCGGCTCGCAATGGCGATGCCAAGGGCGAGATTATTGTCATGATCCGCGGAACCCAGGCAGATGGTTCCGAATGGAGCGAGGTCATGTCTCTAATCTCTGACGATGAACAGGCTGGCTTCGAGTGGGTACAGATGCTTGGACTCAATCCCATCCCCTCTGAATTGTCCGAAGTCAGGAAAATCCAAGCCGCAACCAATCAAGCACAGCGAACAAGCAGCCATGGCTCGTCTTCTCCATCTCATGCAACAGGCTCAACCGCACTTGACAAGAGCCGAACCCCCAGCCCACACGAGATTGATATTCCCATCGGCGAACGACACACAGAAGTATCAAAGGTATGGCACTACGATACCCCACACAAGCGAAACCAGTCACGGACAGTGTCGCCCATCACGCCTCCGAGCGGCGATGCCTCCTTCAGTAGTCTTTACGACGCCAGAGACGTCGCCCAAGCAGAGCCGCGTACTCCAGTTGAACAAATGTTCCCGACAGGTCTGTCCCACGATGATGCTGACCGGACACCTCGCGGCCTTGACGAAGCAGTGCGCATGGCCAACACTGGTTCCCCATCAAGTCTGAAACGAACAAGAGCAAAGAGGCTTTCCAAAAATCCCTCATCTCCACACTCTGGACGTCCATCCCGCCAAATCACACTGGATGATCCCACTGAACCAGAGGATGTTAAACCAGTCGAGGATCTCCCCAAGCCCCGTAGAAAGTCCACGAAGCGACGGCCCCAGTCGCTTCCGTCTGCGCCATCGGCGCTTTCGCAGTCAAGCAAGGGCTTCAGTGTCTGGATGCCAACCTCTGAGGTTGATGACTCGGACTCGGACTCTTCTGAAGGAGACAAGCGTACAGTCACAGAGTCGGAGCTTTCACCTCCTGGCTCCCCGCCTTCACCCCAACGCCCGCAACAACATAGGCGGGTCTCATCTGTGCCTTCCTTGGAGCTTCCCAGTATTCCTAGACAAAGAAAGTCAAGCCGTCCTTCCACACCTTCTGAGGATTCACGTGTAGAATCCTGCAATGTTCGTGAAGTAGCCTCGGCGCCTCCCAAGATGCACCAGAAGAAGCACAGCATCACGGTTGAGGATATTCAAGAGCCAGAGGCTCCGACGGATGTGCCGCCCCCACCAACTCCCCCGCATCGTTCCCCCAGTCCGGCAAGCCCTGAAACACTAAAGGGCTCCAAGACTCCCATACTTCTACCAACACTACCTGGCTTCAGAGGCAAACGCCGTTCATCGTCACCCCTGAAGCACGAGTATGAACCATCCACCTGCACGGAAGAGTCGACTGAAAGCGAGGAGGACTCTGAGTCCGAAGAAGAAGCAGGCGAAGAACAGGAAGAGAGTGCGACATCTGAGTCATCTGAGGATGAGCTAGATGATGATGTACCCATGCCATTGATGCCAATCGGATATATCGGACCCCGCGGGTACACTTCGCGCCCGCAAACTGCGGTTCGAGAGCCCAGCCGCCCGACTACGGCTGAGAAAACGGAAGAGGAGACGAAGAAGTTCCCCAAGGTGTCACCGCCGCCTTCCATCTATACCCTTCCTAATGGTACCATCACTCCCTCTCAATCCGCATCGAACTCGCCTTACCGGACCGTTCCGCAAAACTCTGGAAAGGCCTTACGTACGATAGCGTCCCTGTTTGCTTGGTCTGACCAGGGCAAATGGGACAGCCTGCACCCCGACGAATGTAGTATTGTCGTCACACCAGGAAAGATTGAGGTCTTTGAAATCTCAAGCAATCATTCTAAACCTTTCCTCGCTGACGGTGACGAGATCATCACTCCCGAGGGAGGTGCTCCCCTTATTGCGGTTGAGCTTACCCCTCTGGTACCGTTGCGTAAGTCAACGGCTATTGATATCTCCATTCGTTCCCCGCCCACTGGCGAGTCGCGTCTCAAACCTGGAAATAACATCATGTTGAGGAGTCGCAATGCGACTGAATGCACTCAGTTGTACTCCATGATCAACCAGGCGCGTATCAATAATCCCACGTACATTGCGCTGCAGAACGCACGCGGCCCCTACGGACAATCAAGCTGGGCCGAAGCAATGGACCGCCAGAACGCAGCTAGGATAAGCAGCGAGACTCCTTCTGGATGGATCGGAGGCACACTGGGTAGGAGAAGCAGCTACCGAAAGTCAAGCACACGCGCCGCTTCCGTCTCGGCTGCCACTGAATCTTCAGTCGGGACCATGAACAGCGCCCTTCGCTCAGCGTTGGGCCGATTTTCGTTTAGCAAGAATGGCGTTTTCAGCATCCGCAACTCGACGCTGGGATCACGCAGCACCGGCTCGTCCTTTGACAACGGCTCCAACTCTCGACCAGGTTCAGGCGCCTCCACCCCCACCGGTGACATCACTCGAGCACCCGGCGCGCCACCTGGCATCACAAACACAAAGTGCAGGCTTTACGAGCGCGAGTCACTTAAGAAATGGCGTGACATGGGCAGCGCCAGGCTAACCATCATGCTGCCCTCACCCAACCCCAGCATGCCCTCGTCGCCCACCAACTCTCGACAACGCGCCCCTGGTACACGAGACCATCGCCAGGAACGACGCATCGTGCTGACGGGTAAGAAACACGGCGAGCTCCTTCTTGACGTGCAGTTGTCCGAGACATGCTTTGAGCGCGTGGCCCGTAGCGGCATAGCAGTCAGCGTGTGGGAAGACAATGTCGACGAAGCTGGCCAGATTGGCGGTGTTAGTAAGACGGGCGGCGTGCTGGGTGCGCGCGCACGCATTTTTATGATACAGATGAAGAGTGAGAGGGAGTGTGCGTATTGCTTTAGCCTATTGGGCAAGTTGAGGTATTAAGAAATATTTGGGAGCTGTATGTGTTGGCAGGGGATGAAGCGATGAACACTTTGATTTTTTTTTGATTTGCGTTGCAACACATAACATACCCGAGCGAACTTCTTTACACATATTAGCGGATTTTTGTTAAAGAAAACTAATACTACATTCTTCTTCTTTTTGATTCGACGACTTGAGGGAAATGTATATGTTCGGGGTTTGATGGGCGGGGTTGGTGGGGAGGGGAAGGGCCAGGGGGTCAAAAGAGAGAGATAGAGATAGAGAGAGAGTTGTTGTACATAAAGTTTCGGTTAGGTGGAAATGGACCGTACGTAGTGAATAGATATCAACACAAATACTTCAAAAAAAGCCCCCCCCCCCCTTTTTTTTTCCTTGTTAGTAAGCCTTTTATTTGCTTTTACTTTACAAAAATTCCTCTATCATTTATCTATGAAACCTAACCTCCCATGCACGTGATAACTCGCCCTTGTACTAACTACCTATCTTACATATCAAACTCCCCCGTGCGGCACCGCCACCCCAACTTGACAAGTGCCGACCCGCGCCCACCCACCGCTGTCCAGCCCACATTTTTTTTTTCTTTGTCGCTCGCATGGAATGTTGGATTTGATGCATGACGTGCGGTTATTTACGCGGACCGCGGGCGGGAAGTGATTGGGTGAGTGGAAGTGCCGGCTGCGGTGTGCTTTGGATAAGATGGTTGTATGGGCTTGGCAGTGCTTTGTCTGTAGGAGATGGGGAGGAGGATGTGGTGGGGTGGGGTGGGGTGGAGAGAGAGGTGTATGATGGCTTCTCTATTGTGTTTTTGCTAAATGAGAGGGGTGGAGCGGGATATGCGTGGGTGGTGCGACGGGGAGGTACGGCGGTGTTATGGCTCCGAGGGGGGTTTGTTTCGGGGTAGGGATGTTTGTCTGGTTGGGGGGGGGGTTTTTGGGCTGGTTTGGCGGGTTAGAGGGTTTGAGGGTTTGGTTAGGGGATGGAGGCTATAGAAGGGCGTTTAAGACTGCACTAGATTCTCGGGGATAGGCTGGAATGGGCCGGGTAGAGGGGGATGTTTACCATCAGCACAAATCACGGTATAAAGCAGTAAAGGACTCTGTAGGTTTTGTAAACGTCTGGGATAGTTGCGAGGTAGAGGATTATTTGTTTATGTATATCTAATATGAAGGAAGTACATAGTGTAGGTTTTACTGTGTTCTCGTACCGATTATACTTGCGGCAGTTTTTCATCCGGCAGTTTTAGTCCCCCAAGAATGATTGCCAGTGCTTCACTCCCTAGCGCCACGCTAAACTACTCCTAGCGCCCGTTTTTGCGTGACCGCCAGAACGTATACGCTTACCGAACCCGCTTACCGAACAACGATTCGCCGTTTCCATACTACGATTCTCAGAATACAGCCCAGATTGGGGGTTGTTATCAGACGGGAAAAACGGCGCTGGTCCGAAACAAGTCCAAGTACGTGCACGCGTATGTTACTTGGAAAGGTACGTCACCTGGCTGAGCCACCACCACCACCGACCTCAGCGTATAGACACCGGTACGTAAGTACGGAAACATGCGATGCTGACCTTGCGGGTTTGTTTCCAATCCCCAGCCCCATGTTTCCGAAGTGCTGCGCCCCTAAATTTCGGTAAGTGTCAAAGTGCCCCGCGTAAGTACTTACTTACTGGGACGAGATTAGAAGGTACAAGTCGTTTGTTTCTGCTCGCCGCGAAAGATGACGAGCCGGCGAATCGTAGGTGAGATATGTTGCGCTGGGGACTCCGGATTAAAGCCGGTGGGGCCCTTGCGTATGTAGATGCAGGGACAGGCGGCGAGGGGTATTCCCTGGCGCTGGTCCTCATTTGAGAGAAGAGGCGTGGTTTGAGCACGTACGTACATACGTGTTGTAGAGTAATAACCAGCAATAGACTAAGCTAGGACTGTGCGAGATGTGAGATAGGGCGGTGGAGATATAAGTGTTGATTTCCCAGTGTGCATCTGTGCCTGGGTACAGAAACAATCATCATTCGTTTTCAAACATTCCAAACGACTACTATAACTTTCGAGTATTCTATCGACTAGGATTTCCAAGATGCGCGTTTCACTTCTTGTTTCAGCACTCGTTGCGCCGATTGCCCTTGCAGCTCCCACACTAGAGGCCCGCCAGGCAGCTCCCGTTAAGCCCGCACCCTGTGTGCGTAACAGCAAGGTCACAGAGCAGGAGACAAAGGAACGATTTGAACAGTTTGCGCAGGCGTTTATCTACAAGCCGGATATCAGCAAGGCGTTTTCGTTTATTGCAGTCGATTATATTGTGCGTCTACTTTTCCATCTCCAACTCCAGGGGACGTACTTTGACTGACTTGACCGACTACAGAATCACAATCCTCAAGTAGCAAATGGCTCCACTGCCGCATGGGACGTTCTCTCCCCCTTCTGGAATACAGCCAACATCACCGCCAAGCGCACGGCGTTCAACTCTTCCATGAGCTGGGTCAATTACGACTCCCAGTTTGGCGACGTTGTGGATCGGTTTAGGTGGGAAGGTGGATGTATTGTTGAGCACGTAAGTTGTCAACCCTTGAAGCCGCGTATGATCGGTGGTGAGGGATGAATGCTAACGTAGTAATACAGTGGGATCAGAATGAGACGTTTCCCGCAATTAAAGGCTGCAAGGCTATCTATCAAGGTTGATGGTATGTAAGGTATGGCTTTTTATATAGAAGACACAGCCGGCATGGGAACTCAGGTGGCTGGTGGGGATGATGATGTATATATGATATCTTTTTGTACATTTTGAATGTAACGCACAATACAGTTTCATTCTTCCTTCTTCATCCGCGTCATAACATCTCAGACTGCCTATCAGATGTGAAAGACTAATCGCTTATCTGGCAAGCAACTCATCTAGTGTTATGTTGACAGCTAATGTCATAATACAACATTTCTTACCTACTTACAACGCCCCGAAACTTTAGTTTGAAAAGCCGCATTAGCAGCCCCCGTTAACCATAAACCGTCCGATAATTCGACCAAAGCTGAAAGCTCAGACATCGATAATTGCTTTCTTGCTCTCACCCTTAGACTCGCCCTTGGACTCGCTCTCAGGCTGCAGTATCTGCGCATCCGCAGGGCCGGAGCTACCATCAGTGTAGTGCTCTGCATCAGCATCCACATCAAGGTAATCTTCTCCGCGCAACAAACTATATTCCCCACTCTGCTTTGTTTCCTGAATCTGTGTTGTGCGAGTGGTGAAGCTGCTATGGCAGTTGGGGCACTCATGTACTTGTGGAGCCGCGAAGAGTGCAACCACTGATCGCGCATTGCAAGCGAAGAGGTAACCATGTACGAACCTTTTTTCAAGCAATTAGCCACTTGAAATTTACTTGACCTTTTCCCCTGTGTCCAACGTAAAAGGAAATAGAACTTACATGTTGATAATCATAGGAGCGGTCGTGTACCCGGCCAAAAGCCCAAATCCTGGCCTCTCCAGGTTTCCGATTTCAACTGCCCAAATGGCAATCAGAATACTCAAGTACACTATTCCTGCCACGCCATCGACAAGCTTGAAGCTTGCTTGGGGCATACGTCCATGTCTTCTTTGGTGTACAAGGCTCTTGGTTGATGCGAAAGCGGTGAGGGCGAGCGGGATAAATCCGAAGCAAAAGGCTGTTACGGGCCGGTAGCGGTACCAGGGGTGATTTTGGAGCGATACGATTGTGGTGGCGATGAGAAGTGGTAGTGTGAGGGCGGAGGTGAGAAGAGTGACTATGCGAAGAGGATGTTCGTAGGCGGCGAGCTTGCTCCGGGTGGAAGACATGATGTTGATTCCCAAGGTTGGGTTTTTGATGGATTACAGAGGCTGGGCTTTGAGTGGGCTTTCTTGGGTATGTATGACTTTTGGATGAAGAGTCTAAGGGAAGTAGAGGCGTCTTTTTGGCATGTATAAGACTGAATCAATCCCCTAGGCAACAACGATTCCTTAAGGCAAAGCCACGAGGACGCCGCGCGGACGTACATGATACAGCAACTCTGCACCTCTCGTCGCCCAATCGGTTGTACCACGCGACAAGGTAAAGCAAACATGAGGCATAATGGCGCTGCAAGACATCCAGCATTGAGGCTCTGACCCAATCAACACTTGGGATGAAGCTGGGTTAGGTGCACCGATTCGGTATAGCGCTATTTGTGGGGGTACTCGGGTCCCCTAGGCTCGTTGTCTGGGGGCCGGAGCGCGCGGCTTGTTGCAAAAATATCACAACTTCACGCCTGACGGAAGTATCGCTGTCTGGAAACATGAGGTGATCGGGATGTGTGCATGCTACGTCTTGTTCAGGATGTCGTGACGTGTTGAAGTTGTCGTTCGCGTGCAGTTTTGGAGTCAACAGTGAGCGCTTCATTGTTACCTCGACTGTGTCAAGATCTTTGGCTTGATCTTTGCAGTTCTTGTTGCCAAACAAGTGCCAAATGCTTGAGCTAGGAATGGTAGTCACAGGCTCGCCATGCTTGAACAGCCAAAAAAAAGATTTAGGGCACATAGCAACAATATTAAGCGTAATATCGTATTCATATTTTGAAATATTTGTCGTCTTCTTCAAAAATTATATCCCTAGGACTTCTATAGTTTATGTGTACCACGGCTGGACGTTGGGGCGTGTGACTACGCCGCCAGTCAAACACACCGTCCTTTGGAGGCACTGGTGGCGGCGACTGACTGTTCACTCTCCACCCTTCATTATGCAAGATATTTCTGACACCCTCTGGGCTGAGAGGGCGTAGAGTAACTGGCGTGCTTAAGCCTGTATTCATGGTCGGAGACTTGCCATCTCCACGCCCTATGGTAACAGTCGTCCTGCTAGTCCCGCGCCCACTAAGCGAGCTACTGGCCCTGATCCGGTTACTGAGCACGCTATTGCTCCTGAACAAATTGAGCGAGCTATTGTTGCTATAGTGCTTCACTTTGATCGCAAGAGGCCTCAGTATCGGTAGGGTTGCACACAAGATGCCGACGTTGACTTCGACCATGGACCATGTATTGACAGGGACGAAGCCGTAAATAGGGTCGTCAGAAGTGGTGAAGATGTAAAGAAATCGGAATCTGACAATGGAAGCAACCATGCTGACAACTCCCAGTCCGAGATTGATGTACAATGCGAGCTTTTCGCGTGGCTTGCGGGGTATGCGCCGGATGAGTTGGATGGGTAGAGTGAGGATCCATACGTCGATGAGTATGTGGAAAGAAGACGACGCTGTAGTGTTTTAGTAAGAAAAACAAAAACCATATGACAGGGATATCGAGAAGAGAGGCATACCATGATAGAAAGCATTGATGTTAATGCAGAAGCCTGGGACAGTGTTGGTGAAGTCCCAAAGCTTGTGCAACGGTACACATTGGGCAGCCGCCACAATCGTGAAAATGACTTGGTATGTGGCAAGAACGATGATGGTTCTCTTGCAAAAACCTTCAAACCGTTTGTTGTAGGCTGCGACTTGTCAGCTTCGTTAGGATGTACGTTGCCTACTATACCAACCTAGTCTGCGGTAGACCAAAAGTATGGAGATCTTGATCAAGGTCACAATCGCAGAGTAACCAATGAGCATGGCAACAATGAGCTGTGTCTATTAGCCTAGTTCGATTAGGATCCGAGATAAGCATACCCTGATGTTGCCGCCCACCTGTTTCAGAGACATGGTCGACGCCCTGAAACCCATGTTGAACTGTAGCGCGCCAACTAAGGCTTCAGAAAGGTGTACCAAAGTGAACAACTAGTACACATTAGGCAGCTCCTTATAATCGCTTTCTAAGCAACATACAGTGGCTACAATCATGGTCCAGTCTTCTGGGCCCATACTTCGAATAATGAATTTGCGCGTGTATACACGCAGAGCGACACATGATACTGCTTATTGTAAGTGACTATCCCGATATAATTTATGACTTGCACATACCTCCAAGAGCCGTTGTAACTGCTGAGACACAGATCAAGATAAATCGCCGTTGGCGCTCATCGCGTGGTGGATGCATCGACTCATCCATGACGCTCAATGCTTTTCATCGATGTATGGAAATGCAACGTTTATTACGCTCACAAATAGGACTCTTTACCACCGGGGCATTAAGGCAGGATCCCAAGTTATATTCAGCGACTGTTCCACCCACATCCTATTATCCCTACCCGCGATTATCTCTGGCACACGGGAATCCACATAATTCAGGTTTTGATACAACTAGTCTACAGTGAAAGTCAAGGTGAAGACGGAGGGACATGCATTAGAAACACAACAGCCGCCGCAACCATTGGCGCATGCGACCCACATGTTGAATTAGTACGGGGATGTTAGCGCAATCCTGTGGCCTCATGTCAGAAGTGCCAAGAACACCACCTCGGAACGTTCGGTGAAATGCTGGATTAGATTCAGAGAGTGTATTGTGGCCACCCATACAACCCATGGTGAATGCAGTAGCCATTGCAAAATGCGAGGTTATGGTGAGTATTTTTATTTACATGTATTTCCATCACTTCTACATCGAAAGACACATGAAGAGGTGAACAAACTTCTCCAACGAAACAAAGTCTTGCAGGCTCTTCGTCAACCGATGTGACATAACCATACGGCTTGACCACGAGACGGCAAAGATACTGCACAAAATACGAAGCATGCATCCCTCGACCGGGTACAGCCGCTGCCATACACGTCAGGTCCCAACGGCTTTGGCCTAGTAACCCCAGACCCGAAATTACGGGCGTAAACTAACTGGTGCTAGTACATCCACGTGTATGAAGGATCTAGTGTTAGAGGAACGTTTTAGCAGCTCTCGCAAGGCTTGAAAAAATTAGCCCAATCAAACCTTGGTTTTTACCTGAGATATTTCTGGGACATTGTTGAGGAGCTATGAAGGAAGGGGTTGTTCGGTCTGCAATGCCTGTCATGTTTTGCTTGCCACCACGCTACTGTAAGAGTGGTGTCAACACGAAACAGGGATACTTGCATAGAATAGGAAAGTTTTGAGTGCACAGCCTCGGAATTGGGAATGACGCAAAAGCTGAGTTTGGTGATTAATAATTGCGGCTCTTGTGTGCCATCCTACACCAACAACTAAGTACTAGTTTCTAATGGGACTTGGAAAGGACAATCTCTTTTCCGAGTCGCATACTATTACACATTGTGTCTGCTGTAAAGAAAAAAAGATAAGACAACCTTGACACGCCCCAGGACTGCGCAATCATGCAATCATGCACACCGTTCAGTCGTTCCGTAAAGGAATGTATTGCGACAGACGTGGTATTCGGCCAGACCCAAACACACGAGTCAAATGACCTCGAACGTGATTCCTTGTGCTACTCCTGATTGGTTTGATCACCATAATACCGTTGATAAGATCGTCCCGAGGCAACAGGAACAGGAGGGGGGTCTTAACGTTCTTGAGCCTCGCAAAACGTACTAATCACATACCGGGAATAGCGGAGACTGAACTATTCTGTTCTTACCCCGCAAACTCGTCTCATCCACCGTCCTTTGTCTAGCCCTCATCGTCGGGTCTGGAATCCACGGCTTCGGTCCTGTGGCTGACGAAGTTGCCAAGTGGCCATTCTAGGATGTCCCTGTTACTGATAAGACTCTTAGCCAACCTTAACCCGAATTTCTTACATACAAACTGCAGTATTATCTGCCACACCTATTCGATTCAACACCACACACCCCTAGCTACAAGACAACCAGGGCCCTGGAGTAAACCTCACACCACTGGCTGTGGGACCGTTCAACCAAGGACCGAAAAATTGCCCTACTTGCTGCGATTGCCTTGGCGGTAGCTATACTAAACTTGATGTTACAAGGAAGTCGTGGCCACCCACGGCGACCAGGTCCGTCATTACAAAACAAGCGCGACGGAGCTACCAGACTAATTGGACTCTTTGAGATGTTAACCATGAGAGTTCCAGGTTTAAAGGAAGTACTTACCCATGTTGCTTACACGACGACGTATATTACACGGTAAACTTGAGCCTCAAAAAGCTAATCGTTCACGCCACAGCGTCTCACACTTAAATCTGGATACCAGTTGATCGCCTCAAACACCGGGCTTTTTAGACATTTCCTAGTCGAATCCTACTCACTACTGACGTCCAACCAAAATTCACGGTTTACAGTAATTCGGCCGAATGGTGGGGTTTCGCCAAGGGTTAATCAACGGTTACCTCCGTATTTGGTTCTAAAACAGAATATATAACGTCGATCGAAAAACGGTCGCCGTTGCGCCTGGCTAGTCATGCAGAAAGAAGAAGGCTTAGAGAGGATGTAGGGGTTACTTCAAGTATGAAATGCGTTGAGCATGACCTAGGCAACGAGGGCACGTGCAAGAACTGTCCGACTACAACTTGGCTTGCGTCATTCTTTACACGGTGCTCCGCACAACAACCTCCCGAGGTTTCCGAGATATTTACTGAAAGGGAGGAGAACAAAAGACATCAACTTGGCATGGGACAAACCTAGGGTTTTGGACGCCTGATGTCGGGCCACCAGTTCCTTCGAGAAGTTTTTTCGAAATACGGCTGATGGAGCATTGCGTAATTTCCTCTTACACGCCACTTGAATCCTCCATCCAAGGTGGAAATTAGCGACAAGCGCTGCGCGTCTAGAACCATGATACTGGTAGTCCATGCTATGAGAGATTGCTATCAGCCACAGGCCGAGGTACCCGCCCGCCCCAGCCTGGATCACGGTGCAAATATCGGCGACCGAAACTCGTTTTCAACCACCCGGCCCGTATCCAGGAGGATATCAACATCACATGCATGAACACTCGCCTGCTCTAACCTTTACTAACGACATACATATTAGTGACTCAAGCTTGCTTCAAGGCACCCGCTCTGTAATCAGCGGGACAGCCATAGCACGGGCCTAGATACCCACCTGCTCTAGTTTTGATGCCGGCATCCACTGCACGTCTATCAGTGACCCATTTCCGCTTTCAAGTACCCTGTCTGTGTCCAGTGACCACCTTTACACTAAGTAAAATTCACGAAAGCCCAAATTCGTCACTTCACCTACCAATCAAGATCAAAGTTGGTGAAAACGTCATTTTTGGACTATCTCACAGTAATCACACTGGAAACTACCTCTAACACCATCCACCGCCCTACCTTCCCCTAAGCATGAATTTCATGCACCCTAGTCAGACTCATAGCTGTCCCATCGTCCACTACATTCCTACGGACAATGCGTTCCCCCGTCTCCTCTCCAGCCGCCTGTTCCCCATCAGCAACATGAAAGCATAATGACGCATCCACAAAATCCACATCGTCATCGTTCTCCGGCCGGAAAACAGTAACCTTTGTAATTACCTTTTGCCCCAACTGCGCCTTATGCTGCATGAGAAAATACGCAAAGGCGGCTCCATTCGGTGATCCTGTTCCCCCGTTAGCACACACTGTCTCTCTCCCTCTCCCCTTCACCAAAACAAACTCAACCTTCAAAGAATAGAACAACACATACCTAGCAACGCCCGTCCCTGCACCGTCTCCATCCCAAATTCTGTCCCCGGCCACTCCCCCAACGTATTCCCTACATCCCGTAACGCACTCGCAATAAGTCTATTCGTAACATCGTTCGAAATCCCTATCATGAAGAAAAACCGCACATTCTCCACTCGCGGGTTGTCGCACACCCAGTATCCCCAGAGGATATCGGAAAAAGCGCGGATAGCAGGCAGGTCCTCGCGGTTTGGGGAGCGCTTGCCCGCGTACCAGAGGGTGCGGGCGGATGCCTGGGGGCTTTCGAGGAAGAGGCCGAATAGGGCGCCGCCGCGGGGATTAATGGCGAATTCGTAGTGAGATTTCGTGGCCTGTTTGTCGTTATTAACCTCTTTCCTCTTTATTTCCATCTTTTTGTCTTATCTCTTTCCCTCTTTTCTCGAAAATGTTTATTTGGGAAAGGGGGCAGAGGCTTACACGATACTGCCTCCCCATACCAGGAACACTATACCACTGATTTATCGCAGGCACCTGATTCCCACGCTCATCCCGCATATCTGGGTCCCAATGTTCAATCCTATAACAGTGGTTGTCGCCGCCCTGGGTGGCAGATGTGCCGCTGAGACCTAGCGAGCGCATGGCGTGCGGGAAGTTCCAGTGGGTAGAGAAGCTGCAGCTGAAGGAGGAAGGGTTGACGCTGCGCCAGTGCCAGGTTAAGAGCTCAGATTTGAGATCGTTGGTGAAGGGGCTGGCTGCTGAGGGGGGGTTGCGCGTGTCTTGGAGGAGAGAGCCGGCGGTTTCGTCGGAGCCGGTCAGGCCGCACATGAGTGCGCCGCCTTTGGTTGTGTAGGTGATCCATTCGCTGGGTGAGGCGTAGTCGTCGTCCCAGAATGCGGTGATGAGTTGGAAGTCGTTGGTTTCGGGGTTGGGGGATGTTGAGGATGGTTTGATTACTCGGGCGGTGACGAAGAAGATGTAAGTTGCAGCGCTGATTGCGGTGCTGAACTTCATGATGCTTGTTGTTGAGTTGGAGTAGATACAGTATTCTATCCCAGTGATTGGAGAGGGGAAGGTAAGCAAAAGTTCACTGACAGTCATGAACTTGCAAGTACTGCGAGAGGAGTCGTACATGTGACCGTGGCTGCACAGACTCGAGTGAAAGTGAAAAGTCACACACATACGAACTAAAACCATAGCCATCGTGCTATCCTCCAGAGCCATCAAATAGGAAGCTTCAAGATTCATCAAATATCGTAAATACGGGATCAGTCTTGTCAGCTCGTGGGATATGATGAGCAGTCTCTTCAGTCACGTTCGTGAATACAACTATCCATCTGCTCATAAACTTCATGTATTCTTGATGTTCTTTCATACAACCAACACAACTTCTACCGCAATGGGATACCCTCATCATCACCCGCATCACCATCCATTTCATCGCCACCAAAGCCCCCACTACCCACATCGTCACCCACATCGTCACCCACGTCGAAGCGCATAAACTTTTCGTTCTTGGCCTCAGCTGCACAACTGTTAGCATTCCTCTCTTATGGATATAATCGAGAAAAAATGCGGTAGACTTACTTCCCCATTCAATCACCTGACCATCCTGCACCTCACAGTCCTTGAGCACAGTCTTATCACCATCTTTTGCATCTCCACCCTCCATCTTACACCGCCTACCGAGAATACAATCGGTGAGTTGGACATTGGGACCGACCTCAACGCCATCCATCAGTAAACATCTCAGCAACCTTGCACCCTCGCCAATCTTGCAGTTTGAGCCAATGACGCTCTCTTTGATGTTGGTCTTCTCCTCTACAATGACGTTGTCGGCGAGCAGCGAATTTTCTGCCTCTACTCGGCATTTGCGTGGGATGGATTCTTTGTGTGCAATCTTGGAGTGATGGGCAAATGGTGAAGCGGCTTCTTTTCCAACCTCCTCAATCGATGGCAGTTTGGCGAGGCGGAGCGAAATGGTCAGCAGGAGGTGGGAGTCGTCAACACGGCGGATAAGAGGTTCATTGAGGCCCGAAGGCTGGACGTATGCGAGGATAGGCGGGATAGTAAGTTTTGGGTTTGCTGTAAGTGACTTTGCGGAGTCAGGTATGCTCGACGATCTCGTGACTCTTGATGCTAACGCAGTAGTTGAGCTCTCTTCGTTCTCTACGTTGTTTCCAGAGTATGTAGTGCTGAACTTGGAAACATCGATATCTTCCTCAACCATCTGGGATCCGTGATCCGACTCTTCATTCTCTTCTTGCAATATCTGTCGCAGGCCCAGCTTCTCGCCTAGTCCGTCTTGCCAACTAGCTTTCGCCCACCAACCCATTACTTCCTCACTTATACTCTCAAACTTTTCGTTCTTGCGGATCATCTCCATGACCCAGTAGGGGAAAATGTATATGTGCGCGTCGCGGTGCGTCGTTAGCATCCTGATCCGAGCGTGTTTTCTGATGAGTGAATATCGAAGGGGAAACGTCTTTTGTTCTTCGGTAATGTCGTTGAGAGTGTCTGTGGGAACCGAGTATACGAGTTTGGAGATGTTGCGCCGTAATGAGTCGGTGGGTACGGAGACGATTGGTTTGGGCAAAGGTGTTGTCGCAATGAAGTCGGTCTCTTCCTTCTTTCTGCTACCCTCTCCCTTAGTCTCATACCATACGCCCATTCCGCCTCTTCGTCCTAGTTTTTCTCCTCCAGCACCATATGCGATCTTGCCACCGTTATGATCTAGCCCTCCACTTGCACCTGCAAATCCTCCCTGTTCAACCATCCATGCGTCCACCAGCGATGTACCGTCCAGTTCGCATACGATATCGCAAGGAAGTACGATGAAGTCGCCCTTGATGGTGCTTTGTAGTTCGGGTAATCGGAAGAGGTCGCCGGTACTAGTCTGGTGCGAGAGGCCTTTTGGCGCGAGAATGTTTGGTTTCGGTGAAGGGAGAGTTGTGAGATGTGGATTTTGCGACATGGCAGCCTCGATAGCTTCTAGTGATTCTGGCGGGGTAACGACTGTGATGTCTGCACATTGTCAGCCATCTACTGTGTTGTACTCTTTTTCTTCTTGCAGCCTACCTGTTACTCCCATGCGATAGCACCATTCCAGCGGGTACCAGACCATAGGCCGGTTGGCGATGGGCAGCAGCGCCTTTGGAATATCTTTTGGCGAAGATGTAAAAGTACTGAATGAGGCTCCAGGTCCGCAGAGAATGAGGGCCTGGAAGCCCGGTGGGGGAAGACTCGTTGCGTGCGGCATTGTCGAATAATTTTGGATGTGTGTCTTGGTGTAGTTCTGGTCGGGTATGGGGTCCAGTAATTTTCACAGTGCCCCAATCGATAAGAAGACCGTCGTCTTGGCCTGTGTATCCCGGAGTAGGTGTAGGTAGACAGTCTGCTGACTCCTCTGCTGCAGGTACAGAAGAATGATGTGGGGGTGTGTAAGAGTCACCCCGCTACGTCAAAAAGCGGACATGACTCGTAACACGGCAAGCACAGCAGCCTCGGGCCGCTAACGCATGTGTCAAGCATCAGCCTTGCGTTTTCCCCAGCCACCCACAACAACAGGGAAGCTCTGCACTGCTGACGCTTGAAACAAAACAACTCACGCCCCTAAGACAAAAAGCAACAACTGCAGGATCCAAGCTACAACAGAAGACCAAAATTCCCCATAGCGACATGACCTAGAGAATGTCGTCTTTCAATTACGACCGTTACGACCGTCGCCAGTCGAGCTCCCGCAACCGCAGCACCCTGGGCTTCTATGTTCCTCTGATCCTCACCGTGACTGTCGCGACGGCTGGCCTGGCGGCATGGGTGTGGAGCGCGCGCGAAGACGGGCAAGACTACTCTTCAGACGATGATCTGAGCTACGGCGAAGACAGTGCCCACGACAGGCGAAATGGCACGGCGCCCATGGGCCGTGACCTGGGGCCCGGGGGCGTGGGCGGTGAAGCATACAGCAATGATGCCACTCTGCTCGGCCGCGCCCAGGGAGTCATCCGCCGCACACCCTCGCCCCAGCAGTTCTTCGATACCGTGAGCAAGAAGACGGCGGCTGGCTGGGCGGCTGCTGGCGCTGCTGCTGGCGCTGCCCTGGCCTCGATCCGCGAGGAGGACAAGGACGAGGCCTTTGGCGACCACTCACGATGGAGCGAGGAAGCCGCTCTGAGGAGGAACGTCGAAGCCCAGAGCCGGGACAGCGCCGCAGCCGTAGACGCGCAAACCAAGAGCTTCGCGGCCAGCATGCGCAAGATCGAAGACAAGAACTGGGGCAAGCGCAAAACCGTTGTCCTCGTCGTCAGCGCAGAAAGCCTTTCAGAAAACCACTTCGACGACTCAACCACCTACCGCGAAGAGACTGCAGTCAGCCTCCTCACGCTCCTCTCGTCATTAATGCCAATCACTAACTCCAAACAGACCATCCTCTCCCACCTCCCCGACACCGACTTCTCCCGCATAAACCTCTTCGTCCTCGTCTATTCCCCCGCCTTCCGCTCCCGCCCCCAGTCCCGCGCAAACTCCTCCCTGGGCGGCTCCTACTCTGCTATTAGCACCCCCGCGCGCACCCCGGGAGAGGAACTCTCCTCCATTGACCCTATTGTGTACACCCCTGCCCCCAGCGCCCGCGACTCCGACGCCACCCTCTGGAACACGCTACACTCGCAGGCCCTGCGCCTCGTCGAGGACCCCGCAATGGTCATGCCGTTTAGCACCCCGACGGGCTTCGTGCACATGCTGCGCCACATTGGTCCAGATCTCGTGTACGTTGTTGATGCGCTGAGCGGCGTCAATGGCCAGAACATTGAGGATGTGAGGAAGTGGGTTGGCCAGACAATTGTCGTTGTTGGTGGCGATGGCACGGGTTTGGGCGGACTCGTCGACACGGATGATGAGGGGCCGCTGCGCAAGGGCAAGGAGAACGAGCATACCGTCAGGTGGTGGCAGGTCACTGATATGGTGGGTCTGGGTAAAGGCGTCGAGGTCGTGGATGCGTCTAGACTTGCTGATGACTATGAGAGGCGCGTTGGCGGACGCGAGTAGAAGAGTGTGTTTGCAACTTTTTTTTGAGATACGATGCTTCGCATGGGCGTTTGATGATTGCTTTATGTTTATACCGGGCCCCCCAAAGCCAATTTACGTACTTGACTGAACGAATACACTTACGCCATTTTGAATTGCTTCAATTCGTCATTAATTAAAAGGAAGAAGTATGCCCCCTTTTTGACCAGAAACGCCTATCCACGCTCAACACCCTTGGCATAACAGGAAAAAGATGTCGTAAAACGAGACATGGTTGGAAAATATGCAGGAATAGATTCTACATGCCGACACGAAGCAAGTACCGCAGCTTCACCTGCGCAACATCATACGCAATGTACTCATTGTACATCAAGTACGCTCCAGACACCTTCGTCTTGCCAGGCGGAGTCGATACATCGGGCTATTCAACTCGTCAATTTCAAGGAATCAAAAAAAGGCAGAGAAGCTTCAAACTTACCATCGCGCATCCCTTCAGCGCGGGATTTATGCAGCTTGCATCCTTCCACTTGCTTGGGCCTGTTGAGCCCATTCCCCACGTACTATACATGCCATTCTTGATCGCATCTTCACCAGCAGTGTACGAGGCATTGGTGAGCTGGTGCATCGGGTTACCCAATTCAGCCTCGCAAAGGAGGAGCAGAGCAGTGCCGCCCGAGTTGTACGAGGCACAGTAGTTTGCGGATTTGGAAGACATGTCGGCGAGGTAGATACCTTTGCCGAACATGTAGCCTGATACAGGGGCTTCAGGGGGTGCGATGCGGAGACCTTGGCTGAGGATTCCACCGACTGTAGGTGCATACTGGGTCAGTGGTTGCTTCACAAAGTGTTAATGAAGGATAGGTACTTACAGTTGGTGACACGAGAACCGTGCCATAGGAGACGGCGGTTGCTTGAAATCTTGGAGAACTTGCTCTTGTCGAACCGCTCGAATTCGCCCTTGCGCTCGATGCGGAAGATATCTTGAACGTTGTAACTGACTGCATGGGTTTTGCCTTTTGAGCAATTAAGATACTGGTCGATTTCG